CTTTCACATCTGCTTTGCTTTTCTGTGAATTCTAGGAACCTAAACCATGGTGCATATACTTGTGTGGCAAATGCCTTACCTACTTAGCTGTTTCTCCGACCCCTGTAAAAGTGAGTTTTTAAAGCCAGTGCTGTTGAGGCCAGGCATGGTGGCTCACACCTTTAATCCTGGCACTCGGGAGGCAGAGGCAGGCCGAGCTCTGAATCTGAAGACAGCCTGGTCTGCAAAGCAAGTTCCAGGCCAGTTAGGGCTACATAGTGAGACCCTGTTTCTAAAACACACACACACACACACACACACACACACACACAATCACACAATCAGTATCTGTTGTCTTCCTTCTCTTACATATTCAAAAGGAAACTGTCATAGGGTTTGAATCCAAATTATTTGGAGAAAGGCTATGACTTTAAAATAGCGTCTTTGTAGCGCCGTACCTTAAGCTCTCTAGAACACATTTATTTACTGATAAATAAAATACGTGACTACTTGTTTGACGGTATAGAAGAGGAACCCTGTCTTGTCTCATCCGGTGTGTAGGAGTTGCTGGAACCCAGAGCATAAGTGGTCACCATTCTGCTGTGTTGCGCAGCTCAATCAGAATTTAGGAATCTGCCCCCTTACCACAGGCGAACACTCTGGATACTTGTGTTGTCGGCTCCCTGGCACCCTTCCCGTCCCGTCCTGTGTCAGGATGTGCCTTATGAAAACACAGGAGTAGTAACTCCGAGTATGCCAGTCTTTAGAATGAGCACCCAAGCGCAGTGTTCACAGACGCTAAGGGGAGTTTGTAATTGGCTCTGGAGGTTGGTGAAGGGGTGGCTGTGGTGTCTGCAGTTAACTGTTGGTTATTAGGGTGCCTGTTGTTTCCTCCTGTAGTTTCTCCTGCTCAGTTGAGACATGATTAATGTGACGTCATTTCAGACTGACTGCCATCGACAGTTCTTAGAAGTCTGATCTGTATCTTTTAGGTGCTGCCTATAGGTGGCTGGCGTAGCTTTAGTTTCTGAGTTTATAAAGAGAATCACATCTTTTGGGAAATGTCGCTGCACTGTGAGGCGGCGAGCCAGCCGAGGCAGCATTGCTGTCCCCACTGTTAGCAGTTCCAGGAACTCAGTGCCATTTATAAAACTATCTTATTTCCGTCCACGAACATTCTTTATGTTTTCTACTCTTTGTGAAATCAATTTGCTTGGCTTAGTGAAAACAATCCGTGATTAGCATATTTCTTTGTTGTGACTTTTTGAGGTGGGTGGAGTTTTCTTGATGGTAAGCGTTTCTCAAGAAGCCCAGCATGGCTGCTGGCGCCCTGGATGGAGCCAAAGCCCTGTCTGCCTTCCTGTTCTCAGTTGTAGGGAGAGAGCATTTAACTAGGTAGGATTCAGGCTTTCTCCTTCCTGCTGTGAGCCAGAGCCTAGGTGCTAGGCCTGGACCCTTGACCCCTCTGTAATGTTCTTAGGAAGAAGCACAGTACAGGCTTTGCTGCAGCTTCTCTCCCCTGCCTCCCGAGTGAAGGTGTGAAGGATCCAGGGTATTCTCCTGTTTTCTGCCTTGTCTCGTGAACACACGACTTGATTTACCTTGACCAGCCAGTAACTTGCTCCACATTTTTCCAGAAGTGCAAAGCAGTTTCAGCTAAAAATACACATATCAAATGCTCCAGAAGTCGTGGCCACAGCTCAAAAATGCTGATCAATTTTGAAAATCTAACTCAGCCCGGCCATGAAACCGAGGGAAGAACCTTTGTGGTGGGGACAGATTTCCAAAAATTCACCACAGTCCTGTTCTTAACTGGAGTTTGTGCTGATGCTGCCAGACAGCTGAGGAGTAGATTCGGAAAGCAGGAAGCATTACCGAGGGGGCCTAGCGCCACTTTGGGAAAAGCAAATTAAAATGTAAAAGAATATTTTTCCACTCCTGGAGTCTCAACAGAAAATGGCAAGATGCATGGTTACTGAAAAGGTTCCAGAAATTGCTAATTTTGCCAGAAAGTAAAAGCCAATTACCAGCTGTTTTTTTTTTTTTTTTTTTTTTTTTTT